TCAGCGTTCATACGGACAGACAGACATACGGACATACGGACATGGCTAGATCGACTCGGCTAGTGATCCTGAACAAGAATATATATACTTTATAGGGTCGGAAACGCTTCCTTCTACCTGTTACATACTTTTGCACGAATACAATATACTCTTTTACTCTACGAGTAACGGGTATAAAAAGGGATACTTTCGCAGCCCTTAACAATTTTTCCTGCTGAAGCTATAAGATATAGACGTCCGATCGGCAAGCGCTTTTACCCTAATCAAGATATGCGTAAATAAATAAGAATTGGAAAAATTTATGTCAGTAGCTTACACACTGCGCGAAATATTCTGATAATCATCAAATTTGGACCGATTTCACCCTATTGTTCCTATGGGAGCTATAGAATATAGACGTCCGATCGTCACGTGCTTTTACCCTAATCAAGGTATGCATAAAATACGATTTGGAAAGATTCATGTCAATTGCTTATATACTGTGCGAAATATCCTAAAAATCATTAAATTTTAACCGATTTCACCCAATTGTTCCTATGGGTCTAAAGGGTCTATATACGATCGCCAAGCGCTTTTACCCTGATCAAGGTATGCATAAAAAAATAAGATTTGGAAAGATTTATGTTAATAGCTTTTACACTGCGCGAAATATCTTCCATTCTTGAAAGTTATATCCGATATCAGACAGACAGACCGACAGACAGGACGCGATCTTGATCAAGAATATAGTATATACTTTATATGGTCGGACATGTCTCCTTCAATGCGTTGCACACTTTTGACCAAAATTATAATACCCTCTGCAAGGGTAAACAACTGATAAACAATTTTCATGTTGTAGTTTTGTTCACTTAAAGGTTGCTAAGATCAGCAGCTAAAAAAGATTCGGTATCCGAACAACCCGTAGCGAATTGTATGCACCCAGAATTTTGGAAAATTCCGATTTGTCCGCTGTGCCTCCACACTGCCACAAGGATAATTGAGTCCGGATCACCGTCCAAAGTTGGTTCTGTAGACATCCCTTTCAGGGCTTCCTCTGAAGAAACAAATATTTTTTCTAGGCTTTGCTCTGATCTACTGATATAATGACTTTGATACAAGATAGAACTAAAGCCGATACCATCAATGTAAAGGTGGACAAGTTTAAGTTTTCTTACGCTAGGGACATTTCCTCTTTCAATTTCTCAATCCCAAACGAGCTTTTTAAAGACATATGCTCTGCCTAAAAAATATGTTGGTAAAAGAGTTCGAAGCTATGATAAAATAATAATGACCGTCCCTCTAGACGGGGAGGTGAAGTCTTAATTGGAGGGGATTTAAACCTTACGTCAGACTTATTTTTTAAGGAATTCAATACTATGGAATTTATTTTTTAACTTACTCAAATATTCTGCCGTTGTCTGTACTTGTCTGATTATTTAAATCACCTTTCCGTTATCAAGTCTGTTTCAAATAAATTTTCCGACAGGGATCAGTTTATAGTTCTAGGAGATTTTAATACACCGGGAGCTACGTGGTCTACAGAGGATGGTTCTAATGTTTTACTACTTACAGCACAACATGGTTTTATTAATTGCCTGCCATATCGTTATCAGGTCAGACTTTTTAAGTAATATAAAAATTCTGGTTCTCAATCTGTTTTTGCTAGATATTTAAGTGCGCGGTCAAGATTTGCCGTGCTTAATGCTCAGTGTTATAGTTCTCTCACGACCCGAAACAGTTTTATAACTTCGTTAACACCAAGCGTAAATCTAATTCTTATCATTTCCCGCTGTCGTTCGAAAACATGACGGGAACCACAGATCAGGCACCAGCCGATTTATATCCCCAATTTTTTTAAACGACATATTTTATTTTAGATTATTCAACAAACATTTTTTCTCACTTTAAACGAAAGCTCTCTTCTTTTGGATCTTCTTCGTGTTTATTGGAACCGATGGTATTCCTGGGTGCGTGCTTAGGTATTGCGCTGAAGCCTTGTGCAAACCTCTTCACATAATATTTACCTTATCTTTAGAAACTTCCCCATATTTGAAAGGAATTAATTTTAATTCCTCTACAAAAAAGGTAACAACATGGATGCACGTGTTGAACGTAGACACACAACCACTAACTCTCTGGAACACATTTATTTTGACGTTTATCGGCTTCAAAAGTAGTTCTCAAACAGAGGTTATTAACACAGACTTTAGTAAAGCATTTGACTCTGTAAATCACTCACATTTTCTACGGAATCTCGGCTTTTAAGGGCTCCTAGGGTATTTCCTTATATTAATCTTTAAGATCCAAAAAATTGAAATAATTTCATTCTATTGTAAAACTGTTTAAGAATATTGATTTAAAATTTCAAGTCGATATCTGAAATATTTACAAAGTTGATTTTGTACCGAACGGGTCGGGAGGCGTGTTCAAACGCTTCAAAACTTTAAAGGCTTTTTTCTCAAAACACCTTTTTCTGTTTTGTGTACACGATTGAGAAAAGCTGTACTGAACAGCTTTGTGACGGCTCATTTGATAAATCATTAAATTCTCTTCCATCTAAACAAATTTTGTAAAGTAAATTTTTTAAACGGAAATTGTTTAATTACAATTTTTTAAGCGATTTATTAACGCCATTCCCCCAGTTATAAGTCATTCTCGGGTATTTATGTACGCAGATGATGTTAAATTATGGATGCAGTATAAGGATATTTCCTCCCATTTAGACTTACAATTCGGTCAGGATAACTTTCAAAACTGGTGCCGGAATACTTTACCAAATTTAAACGCCTCTAAGTGCAAGCTGATGACTTTTTATTCTATCTTCAGATAGAATAACTCTAATCCGGTTTTGATCATTATTTCGTCCATGGTTAATAAAGCCAGAGGCGTGCTTGGTTTTAATAAAAAGTGGTCAAAAGAATTCGATGATTCTTATGACAATAAGACTCTATTTGTTTCGCTAGTCCATCCGATTCTGGAGTATGGGTCTCCCGATTGGAGTTCACAATGCGGAGTACATATTGACTACATTAAATCAGAAAGAAAAAACTTTCTACTTTTTTCTTGAATGCCCCTAAACTGGGATGCAAATCTTATCTTATCCTACCTGATTATTCTAATAGACTACTGTTAATTTATGTACCCTCCCTATCCAACCGTAGATCCTATTCGTGGAGAGATCAAGCAAAGTCAAAAAACTGGCTTTATAAGTCAATGTTATAGCGCGATCGGTAAGCAAACCAGAACAAATTAGTTAACTTCAATATACAATATATACAGGGTGGCCCATCTAGCGTTTGCTTTTTGAACTATCGATAATTTTGACTTTGACATTTCAAATGTCATTGTCAATGTGTCAGATATTTAGTAGAAGGTTTGCGGTTTACAAAATGGTTAAGTTTACGCTCGAAGAAAATTGGGAAATATTGAAAACTTTCTTCCAAAGTGGAGAGTCTTCAACATAAACTGTAAGAAAATTGCGGTCAAAATTCGGAAAAAATAAAGCGCCTTCCAGGCAGTTTGTGGATAGTTTTGTAAAGCGTGTGCGTGAGACTGGATTGTTGATGGATAAAATAACACGTTTACGTGCTCGTCCAGTTCGGTCGGTCAAAAATATCGCTGAGGTGGCCGAAATTGTCAATGACAATCCGTCGACGTCAACTCGGCACCGTGCTCAAGAGTTGGACATTTCGCGCATTTCCCTGCAACGGATTTTAACCAAAGGCCTCCGTCTAAGGCCATATAAGATTCTGTTGCTTCAGCAGCCTAAGCCGCATGACCATCCAATGCATTTTCGGTTCGCGGAATGGGCTTGGTCGATGATGACCATTTTTACCGAAAAATTGTGTTTTCTGATGAGGCCCATTTCCACCTCGGTGGTTATGTTAATAAGAAAAACTGTCGCATTTGGGGTTCAGAAAATCCACACGTCGTCTTGGAGAAGTCTATGCATCCACAACGAGTGACTGTTTGGTGCGATATGTGTTCGGGTGACATCATTGGGCCGTTTTTCTTTGAAAACGAGGAAGGAGCCGCCGTAACCGTTAATGGTGTCCGCTATCGCGGCATGTTGGAAGACTTTTTCTTTCCCCGAATGGAAGAGGAAGACATAGACGACATATGGTTCCAGCACGACAGCGCTACGTGCCACACAGCCAACGTCATCGCATAATCAGCCGAAACGGCGATGTCAACCGCCTCGCAACTGCGATTTGACCCCGTTTTACTATTTTTTATGGGGTGCCGTCAAGGATAAATGTTACGCTTTGGGTCGACCGAATGGGCTACTGTGAAGCCAGCCGAGGCAGCCATATGAACGAAGTGGTGTTTCATACATAAACGGCAATGTTGAGGCAAAATTTTGAAAAAATATATACTCGTTGTTTTTTTATAGCGATTTTAAAACGCAAATCTTTCGTGGGTTACCCTTTATAACAATATAAATTTTAAATGCGATAATGTTCTTCAGGTTTTGAACAACCTGAATTACGAATTAAGTGCATGGCACTGTTGCTTCGTCTTTCCGAATTAGTTTTGCACGCCGGATACAAATACCAAATACAATAATTGAGGATATTAAACCAGTCGATAAAGTAGGAGTAGTTGTCACTAAAAGTCGATCAACAAAACGATTTTTGAACTGCTAAAATAATAGTCGACAAGAATTCTTGGATTCTAATGACTAATGAGTAATTGAATAGAACAGGATATGGAAGATATTCTTTGTGAAAGGTTATGAGATCAACATCAAAATATTTTTAAGACAAATTATATATTAAAATCTTTAATTATTTTCGAACAGTCCTGCATTTGTATTGCAAAAAAAGTGTGAAAAAAATCTCTAAACTGTGATTTTTAAAATAATGTTACCATTACACCCATTCTAAAAAAACAAATAATGAGTAGGTTAAAAGTTCAAAAGTATTGACAGTCTGTGGAAATGTACCTTATATTATACAAATTTGTAATATTGATTTCAATTTTTTAATAATTTTTTTTATTATGTTTTGAAAACTTACTGCGTTACCATTTTCTTGAATGCACATGCTTACAACGTCTTCCCTTTGGAGTCTGACAGCAGCATGGAGGGGATACTTTGTTTTGGTCTGAAGCATTTCAAACAATAAAGGCCCGGACATGTGCTCAAAGTCTTGCGTTGTAAGGTCGTCCCAATGTGTTGATATAATGCCGGCACAGTATTCTAACAATGTTGATGCATCTACTTCTTTAGCAACACAATAAAATCGTATGCAAGACCTTACTCCCACCGAAGCAACTAATGCTCGCTCACACAGTCCTAAAAGAGATGGTAAACCAAATCGATGTGCGGTTCTAAGAAGATCCAAAGCTAGCCCATCATGCTGCAAATCAATAAGATCAGTGTATATCCAACGCAAAAGTGCCAGCACAACATCTTCATTTAAATCGCTCCAGTCGAGCTCTTGTATGCCGCTTAGGTGATTATCTCCCCATTTTTCAGAGCGTGCGTGAAGAACGATTTTGTGTGCCGGAAATACTTTCTCTTGTGCTCTAATGTAAATATCAGCATAAGTATGACTACCAAATAATGAAGCAACCGTTAATGACAGACGTGAGACAAAATTGTTGAGTCCGCCTGAGAACTCTTCATTTGCTGATGTAGCAACAATTTCGTTGTATTTTCTCTCCAATTCCCCATACTTGCGCTGTTGATTTTTATATTCATCCTTTAACAACGCTAAATGTTTCTCCAAATGTTGAACGGAAGCATTGTCATTTGTCCCTTTAAATATACAAAAATATTTAATGGTAAGTTAACGTCATATTGGTAAATGTTTATAAAATATGTTTAGCTTTATATTTGTATGTTTTTATATTTTGGTTTGTAACGTTAACAATAAGTTATACAGTTGTTTGAGATACTTTTACTTGCACAATTACTGCAAATAGAAATAATAAGAAATAACTTTTTGTTTATGGGATGGATTTAAGGGCGTCAAGCTGAATAAATTATTTATTATGATTATAGGGTAACTGTGAGTAAGCATGCAAATCAGACTGCATGGTTACCGGTAAGACTGGAAGACAAAGCAAAAATAAACAGCCCCTGACAGACCGGGTATCTGTGACGTAGAAATACCCAGATAATCTTGTCTCTTCACCGCAGATTGTAGGATCTATTCATAGAGAACAAACCACGACCAGCTGAGAAGCCATCCCAGTCTTCTGGTGGTCGAAAAACTCAAGAGAGCGCCACCACAGCAAGCGGATCCCTGAGTCTTAAAAAAGTCTTGTTTAATCAGGAAAGTCAGATCCAACATAACCCCCTGGTTGTACTCAGCATCTGCTAGGCAATATACCTTGCCGACAAAGTCCATACTAAACTGCGGAAGCCTTCGAAAAAGGTGGCTAGGCGATAAGGCGGAACATAGTTACTTTTGCTGGGCGATATACCTTGCAGGCCGGGATAGGGAGGTTCGCATAACATCCAGGGCCTTGGTGGAGCCGTCCCGATCTCAGCCTTTGGAAGGCAGAAGCGTCGCAGCAACCGCAAGCCAGAAGCGATGCAGTAGCAGGCAGGGAGCGACACAGTAGTATCAGCCAGCAAGAAGCTACGCAGCTGAGGACAGCGACAAAGAACTGCTTCCGCTGTGCACTAATTCTATAGTAAGAGAAACGCTATTAACTTAAGTCTCAAAGGAAAAAGCTATAAGAATTGAAAAAAAAATTTGTTACATAAAAAACTGTAGAAATAAATGTTTAAACCAACACAATAGTTTTGTTTGGTTAATGTAAAAAAAAAACTGAAAAACTTTCAGGCTGAAGTTCTTGAAAAGTTTGACCTTGACCAACTAGCTCTTATCTAAAATTTCTAAGTGCACAAATCCAAATAAAACAAGAGAGAACGCTATAGTCGGGTGCCCCGACTATCAGATACCCATTACTCAGGTAAAGGGAGTGCGAGGGAGATGGAGATAGAAACTTTGATCACGCATAACTTTTTAACGAATGGTCCGATTTGAAAAATTTCTTCTACATTTCGATAGGTATTGATAAACACAATAAAACTGCATTTTTACTTTTCCGAAATATTTAAATTTTTAAAATCGTATATAAGCGATTGTGGGCGTTAAAGGGGGCGTGGCACCTTTTTGAAACAAACTTGCGCTGCGTAGGAACTCCTAGAATCTGCATGCAAAATGCCAATCTTCTAGCTTTTATAGTTTCCGAGATCTCAGCGTTCATACGGACAGACAGACAGACGGACAGACGGACAGACGGACATGGCTATATCGACTCGGCTAGTGACCCTGATCAAGAATATATATACTTTATAGGGTCGGAAACGCTTCCTTCTAGCTGTTACATACTTTTGCACGAATACAATATACCCTTTTACTCTACGAGTAACATGTATAAATAGGGAGTTAATAAAGAACTAATTGTCGGACGTTGATTGCACTATGATCAGCGCAAAGTAGAACTTACGACGTCAAACAGTGCTTGTTACGCGCGGAGCCTTTTTCCTCAAGGTGACGTAAAAAACGGGCTCGCGAAAAAGAACAATATAGAAGCGGACAGAATAAGTTAAAATACAAGTTAAGATGAGAAGTACAAGGTCGGCAATCTGCTCGTAGCGCTGCCGTTTAATTTATTTAAGTTAGCAGTAATTAGTTCTCAATCCAAACGGATTCCGCATTATTTTTAACCAATAAACGGGAGAAATACCGATAAATAAAGATTTGTAATGAAACGGGAGTATAATCCTCTCTTAATTACATATGAACAAAATTCTAATACTAATTTTGTGCTAAATGAGATAAAATTAATTTTTTTAAGATTGGCAAAGAGTCGGTAAAAGAAATAATATGGTATAGTCAATTATAGTCAGAACAAAGTTCTCTAAAAGGTTCATGCATAGATCTACAATGATTTAAAGTAATAGGCTTGCATTCCAGTTAAGCCCCGTAGAGCAAATAGTAAAAAAAAATTTTGCATAGACTCTATCCGGACTATATGTACACCATACTGGGGACTTCAAACTGGTAAGCCGTACTCAAAAATTGGACGGACAAGTGAAATAAATAAAGTCTTTGTGACATAGGGATCATCGAATTCCTTTGACCACCTTTTGATAAATCCTTGCACTCCCCTTGCTTTAGTCACCATGCAAGTAATACGGTTACAAAACTTAAGTTTGGGTCAAGTCCTTCTTGAACAAGGTCATCAACATGAGTGATTCCAGACAACTCACCACCACCCAGCGTATATGTGGCATTTTGTGGGTTGACCCAAACATGCGTACATGAGAACTTTTCTTTGTCAAGGCTAGAGGGTAATCGTAAATAAATAATGTAAAGAGAAGTGAGCCAAGGTGGCTTCCTTGTGGAACCCCCAAAGAAACTCGGATCAAATTAGAGATAGAGATTTTAAAGAAGACTCGTTGAGTCCTATTAATTAGATAACTTAAGTTCCATGTTTGCAGAGTACGTGGAAACTCTAATAAGTCTAGCTTTAATAAAAGAAGCGAGTAATATACAGAATAAGACGCTTTTCTAAGGTCAGTGAAACCAAAGACCAATATAATCACTAAGATGCGTAACGCCCATACATTGGTTTTACAATATGCAGCTCGTTTTTTAATGGCGACGAAAATTCCGCTCTCTCCGCTCGCACAAAGTTGAGAGCGTAAAAATCTAAAAATAGAATTGCACGAATAAGAAAGTGCGAATGTGTGCGTATTTGTTCGAGAAGACGATTTTCGTCCAGAAATCATTTCTGGACTAAGAAACTAATTGTGTGTCAAAAGAACTTCTATGATTGAACAGGATGATTATTTAAATTGCATTTATGTATATATGGCAATGAAGCTTGATGTAAAACTTTTTTATATACCTTAAAAATTAATATCTGCATATTTAATTCAAAGTTTCGTTTTACATATTTAAATTAAAGCTAAAAACATAACTTTTAATACAAAACACATAAAACTGCTTGATTAAATTTAAAAATATTTCAATAAAGTTTTATAGGTTTGAATATACTATGATTGTTAAACAAAAACAAAGCGAACTATATTTAAGTTGAATATATTTAAAGGATATTTAATTAAATATATTTCGCTTTTTTTTATCCATGGCTGTTTAAAATGGAAATATTAAATTTAATTTTTATTCAAATATATTAAACTTTGATCTAATGACTTAAAACATTTTAAGTAAATACGAATAACATCATATCTAATATTATCAACCTGCATTTAAATCTATTCTTTTATAAAAAGTTAAACTATTTATAATAACACGAAATGAATGCTTAATTATAAAACTAAGCTACAGGATATCCTATTTATATTGTATATTACGTACATACATATTTATAACTTTTTTCCAAGTTGTCGAAAGCGTTTTGTTATATTTTTTAGAATGTTTTTTCGGTTCCATTTTTTTTTAATATTTCAATAAAACATTATTTATTTATTAGTGTCGCTTACAATTAACCCAAAAGCGCGCGTTTTACAAATCAAATTAAAAGGCGCAAAATCATTTAACCAAATTTAATATTCATAAGAAATACTAAAAATGGGTAATTTTTATAAAATGTATATATAATATTTAAGTATGTATTTGTATATTAACTATTTTAATTAGGTAGTATAATTAATATATTAACTATTTTAATTATTAAATAGTATATTCAATATATTGACTACTTAAATTATTTAAACCTTTTTTGTTTCCCCTTTGGATTTCTCTTTTTTCTAAATAATTAAAATAGTTAATTTACAAATATTTATATAAATTTAATTTATATTATGATAATAATTTTATATAATGTTATTATAATACGTATAATATAAAAATACCACATATTTTTTAATCCATATATTTAAAATACAATAAATATAAAAATATTCATTCTGTTCAATCGCAAAATTTCTGAGGCTCCTAAAAATCGTTCACACGTCGCATGCTGAATACCCTAATGACAATTATTCCAATGTGAAGTCATGTATGAAATAAATTATGTTATTTTTTATACTTAGATATATTTGGTCATTACTAAAAAATATTATACATTCGAATAATTAGTAAATAAAGTAAATATAAAGGCAATACAAAATAAGTATTTTTAATAATGTTATAATTTTAAAATAAAGAGTATATTTCGACAGCGCGCTGCAGCGAATTTCTTCGCTAGTGAATACATGTGCACACATACATTCGTCGGCTGTCGCAGTATGCGTGCAAAGAGCGGCTGGCTTTAGAGCGCTCTCTCGCTGGCTTTTGGGCAGAGAGCGAAAAGCCAGTTGAAAAGCCAGCACAAAAAATTCGTGTGCAAAAAAATCGTATGGCGTTACGCATCTTGGAGTTTATATTGGTCTTTGGTGAAACTAAGTCAGTATGAATGTTATTCCAAAGCCGTTTATTACAAAAGACTTTAGCTCTAAGAGGTTTGTCGTCATGGTTTTTCGGAAGTAATAACGTCTTTGAAAAGTTTTGGGATGGCAGTCACCTTGAATATACCTGTGTACTTTTTTTATTCGATTCGAGAAATAAAATTATTATGAAGGGGAGTAACAAATGACTTCTTCCAAATAAGTTGGAAGTGAGAAGTTTCCAAAGATAACTTGTGGAGAGGTCTACACAGGATTTCCGCGCAGTATCTAAGCACGCAGCATATAACTTCGTCGTGACCGGTGGTTGAACTTTATGCTAAAAAAAGAAAATGAAAACCCACTCTTTAATTCTGATAACTTAGAACAATATACATTAAAATAAA